CAGATTCCCCTGGAACTGGAGTTAAGGATGGTTCGTAGCCACCATGTGGGTGTAGGGAATCAAACCCAGGTCCTCTGCAAGAGCAGTCAGTGCTCTTAACCACTGATCCATCTCTCCAGCCCCTAAATAATATATTTTAGATTAGGGCTGGGTAGAGTGGTGCACACCTTTAATCCCAGCACCTAGGAGGTAGAGGCAGGCCTCTATGAGATCGAGACTAGCCTGGTCTATGTAGTGAGTTCCAGGCCAGCTGGGGCTACAGGGAGACCCTGGCTCAAAAACAAAAACAAAGACTTTAGATTATATTTATTTATTTACTGTGTGTTCACGCCAAAGGATACCCTTAGGAATCTAGTCTCTCCTTCTACCATGTGGGTTCCAGGGATTGAATGCAGACTGTTAGACTTTGAGGAAAGCGCTATTACTCCTTGAGCCATCTTACTGACCATAGTTTTTGTTTGTTTGGAGTCAGAGTTTTACCCTGTAGCCCAGGGTACTTACTATGTAGTACAACTGGCCTCTAGTTTGTGGAAATATTCTTGCCTTAGCCTTCTGAGTGCTGGGACTGCAGGTGTGTAGTCTCATTATATAGCCCTGGCTGGCCTGGAACTTATGTAGACTCACAGGGGTCCACCCACCTGTCTCTGCCTCCTGAGTGCTGGGGGTAAAGGTGTGTACCACCACACCTGGTTCACCCCCTTTCTTTGATGGGCATGACTTGTATCATAGCATATCCTCATGACCAAACCAACTGCTGTGCCCAGTGGGGGTGGGCCATGACAGTGGGTAAGACTGGAGTCTAAACAAGGCCCTGGAGCTAGGACTGCAGACTTGTTGGTTTGAGGAAAGGTGGCCAGGAGCGTCCCAGGAATGCCAAGGAGCGGGTGCTGACTGCTGCAGGCTGTGTGGGCTCATGAAACACCGTTGTGCCCATTTTGCTGGTGTAAATGGTGTGAGGTAGAGCCATGGTCCAAACCAGTGTGGGACAAGTTTCTGCCATGACATCTGTGACTTGGAGTGGCACTGTCACATCTGTCCAGGGCTGAAAACATCTGCTAGCCAAGCTGGAGGCCACAACCTCTTCAGGGGAGTTAGTATTCAACAAACTGAGGCAAGCACATGGTTAATACACTCATAGTAAGGTAGAGACCTGGAGAGAAAAGGCAAATTTCCATTTCATTCCTGAAAGAATCTTTAAAGCCCAAACTCAAATCAAAGAGCATAGTAAAGTAACTTCCTGTGGGCAAATTTATAATTAATCCTGGATTAATTGGCCTCAATGAAGTTGAATTAATTACTGGCTGTTTGTAAAAAAAAAAAAAAAAAAAAGTTTGAGAAAAAAAAAAAAAAAAAAAAAGTTTGAGCTATCTGAGTACAAAACAGCTTTAAAGCAGCAAAACGGAGCCAGCATTCTGTTAACATGAAGAACGAATCCGAGTAACTGCGCCTCTGCAGGCCAGCTCCCGCCGGTGCTTTTTCTCTGACTGACCAACCTGTGCTGCAACTGCCTGGGCCCAACAGTGCTGCTTCAGAGGAGCCTTCCTGGTTGGAAAGCCAAAGTGCATCCATGCCCGCCACAGCTACAGTATCCCTGGCCAGGCCCAGCAGTACTTTTGAGGGATACTGCGCCCCCCCCAATAAGTGGGGAGAACATATGATAAATGTAGTAAAGGAATAAACCCCCAAGTATGTTAAGGGACTAGGATACAACTCACTGGTAGAGCAATACGGCCCTGGGTTTGATCCTCAGCACCTTAAAAGAAAGTATGCTAGAGGATGGTATATGCCAAGGATGAATGGGGAGGGTAAAGGAGAGAAACTAGAGGTGGGTGTGTTTTAGCTACGCTGTCCAGGGCAGCACTTGCTGAGGGAGTGGCAGGTGAACTTGAAGGGGGTGAGGAGGACTGTGAAGAGGTCCAGGAGAAAAACATTGCAGGATGAACTGGCCAATGTCTGATGGGTCTGAGGACAAGATCCAGCAGAAAAGAGCAGGTAAGTCCTTAAAGCTCACACAGCGGGTATGTGGGGTTCATGACTCTATACACTGTGCTACCTTGGGCATGTTGTTCTTCATGCATGAGACAAAGAGGGGTGTTTTGAGATTAAGTGTTTACAAAAGTACACACTGGTTTCTGGGGGACACACGAGCTGTGGGGAGCAGGAAGAGATGCTGGAGTGAACAGAGCTAGAACAGCAATTCCGGTAAGTTAAAACGAAAGCCATGATGCAACCAACCACACACCCACCAGAAGGGCTAATATTAAAACAAAGCTGAATATCTGGCAATGCCAAATGTGTCATGCCAAGCTTCTGAAACTCTGCAGCACTACTGGAATATAAGCAGAGCAGCCACTCTGTCATACAGTTTAGCATGTTCTTATAAAGTGCAGATACATTCATCACATAGCCCAGCATTCCCACTTCACAGCATTTATCCAAGTGAGACACTCACACAGAAATCCTGTACATGAGGAGTTGGGGCAGCTTTGTCACTGTCTAAACTGAAAAGAGCTCAGATGTTCTTTGACAGGGGAGTGGACAAACAGATGGTCCCCTACCCATACCAAGGAATACTATACAGTGATGAAAAAGAAAATACACCATAGTTACATGAACAACGTCCACCTCAGTCTTCCTTGGTACAAAGCAGGCATTGGTGTTTGTTGGAAAACCAAGGAAAGGAGGTGATAAAGACGTAGAACTAAATAAAGATCTAAATTTGGAATTATGTTATGCAGCTTTCTGTTACTCCAATAGAAAGCTTAGGAAGAAGAAAGGTCTACTTTGGCTGGCAGTTTGAGAGGCTTCCATCCATGGTCACTTGGCCCCACTGATTTGGGGATTGTGCTGAGGCAGCACATTGTGGCAGAAGCTAGTGGCAGAGGAGGCTGCTTATCTCATGCCAGCAAGTGAAACCAAGAGAGGAGGAGGAAGGGACACACCCCCATGACCTCACTTCCTCCCTCAAGACCCCACAGCTCAGTGGTTCTACCACCTCCCGGCAGTGCCCAGGCCGAGACCAAGCCATTGGTATGAGGGCCTTTGGGGGACATGTCCAGATCATAGCAGAGATCACCTAGGTCCTCCTTCAACAAGTCATAATGTCCTGGCACTGGGAAATCTTTATGAGTCCCAAACTCCTATGACCAAACATCCCAGAACCCACAATTTGTCAAAATTAGAGCCCAGAGTAGCTAGACATCTACTACCACCCCCTGTGAGGCATGAGGCACCTTGCACTGCCTCCATGTCTACAGGACATTTGCTATTTTTAGCACATTTAGGATTTTGGAAAAATGGGTACAAGGTTGGAGAATAATGTTTTAAAATTCAGATGGCATTTTCATTCTTCCCAATATTTTAATGGCAAAATGTTCAAAAGCATAGTAATGTTTAAAGAACTGTGTTAGTACTAGTCCCATTGCTATGAACAAATACTTGACAAAAGCAACTTATGGAAGAGTTCACTTTCATCTATGGTTGGAGGGTATGGTGCATCATGGTGGGGAGAACATGGCAAGATGAAGGTGAGCAGCTGGTTACAGTGCTCACATGTGTCACAGTCAGGAAGCAGAGAGATATGAATGCTATTACCCCATTCACTGTCTCCTTTTTAGGTGCAGGACCCCATTGGATGAGGCTGCCCATTGTTAAACCTTTTTCAAAACACTCTCACAGACATAGGAACAGGTGTGTCTCCTAGGTAATTCCAAATTCCATCAAGTTGACAAGATTACCTATCAGGAGCATCATATGCCCAGCACGAATTTTACCAATTCTGTTTTACTGCACTTTACCTCTCTCTCTCTCTCTCTCTCTCTCTCTCTCTCTCTCTCTCTCTCTCTCTCTCTCTCTCTCTCTCTCTCTCTCTCTCTCTTCCCCCCCACACACGTGCACACACACACACACATCTCTATCTCTCTCTCTCTCTCTCTCTCTCTCTGTCTCTGTCTCTCTCTCTCTCTCTTCCCCCCCTCATGCATGCACGCATGCACACACATATCCATCTAGCCATCCCTCTGTCTAGGCAAGCACTTTATTATAAGCTCCAACTTCAGCCCATGTTACTGATTGGTGGTTCATTTTGTTTTGAGATGGGGGTCTCACTATTTTGTTCAGGCTGGCTTTGAACTCTTAGGTTCAAAGTCATCCTCCTGTCCCAGCTTCCAAGGTTCCAAGACCACAGGTGCAGGCAACTACACCCAACTTGACCTAAGTGTTTCTGGTACATTAAACTATATTTTGTTTTATTTTTATTTTATATGTATGAGTGTTCTACCTGCATGTATATAAGTGCACCAATATTATCAATGCTCATGGAAGCCAGAAGAGAATGTTGGATTCCCTGGCATTGGAGTTACAGTTTTCAGCCACCATGTGGGTGCTGGGAAACAAACCCAGGTCTTCTGGAAGTGCAGCCAGTGCTCTTAACCTTTGAGTCATCTCTCTAGCCCCATTCCTGGCACATCTAAAGTAAGTGAGAGAAGTAGCATCACCCCCACCACCACCACTCCAGCACACATATGACATACCGGAGTTCATACCCATGGTTCATTTTCACGTGACATCTGCACTCCCTTCCCTTTATAAATGCCGGATGATTCAGTACTGCGCCTCTCCCTTTCTGTTCTACTGTATCTTCTAGTCAGAAAGTATATCTCCTGAGACCCAGAGTTGTCCCAAGGTTGATTCAATATTTAAAAAGTCAACACATGAAGTTCACTATTAAGTCTGAGGACAATACTACAATAAAGCTTTAAAACACATTTTTTTTTTCTTTTTCTCAGTGTTGGGGATGGAGTTCAGGCCTCTCTGTGCATATTAGGAGAGCATTCTGCCAGAGAGTGACATCCCTAGCCTTTGGTTTATTGAGACAAGGTTGACAGGAGGCTCAAGTTGGCCCTGAATTCTCAATCTTCCTGCTTCTGCCTCTTGGGTGCTGGGGTTACAGGCATGTGCCACCAGGTGTGGTTACCTCATTTCATATACTTGGGACCAGAAGCATTTCCCTCTTCACACAGGTTGTCCTGTGCATTCCCCAGTGCTTCAGTCCCTATCCCTCTGGTGTGACGCTCCAGATGCCTTCTCTTCTTGGTGTTTCCTGCTTGCCAGATCAACCATATCTTCCCCAAGCTCTAGGCACCTTTCAGAACCTGGAGAGAGTATCAGAGGCAAACAGAACATTCACCATTTCTATACACAGTTAAGTTGTAGCCCCTCAAAGCCAGGCTTAGACTCCAGGGTGAACATTTCTGAATCATCTAGGTCCTCTCCCTTCTCACATTACTCCCAGGTTTCCCATGGGCAGCTCTGGGCCAGCACTGGATCTCTGGTGACTGCCCCTGAGGTCTAATCTGAGCCTTAGGAGGCAGCTGGCCTTCCTCTTTCCCATCTCTATCCTCTCCAGATGGTCTGGCTCAGTCACTAGTCTTAAGTTTTGCCTCATTTCTCCTTCCCCAATGCAGATAATGTTGGCACAGCATCCCAGGGCAGTGTACACTGTCGGCACTTAATAAAGCCTTACGGAATGGAAGGAAGGATGGATGGATGGATGGATGGATGGATGGGTGAGGTGTATAGATGGATGGATGGGTGAACGCGTGGATGGATGCATGGATGGGTGCATTGATCAATGGATGAGGCGTATGTATAGATGGAAGGATGATGCAAGGAGGAACTCCCAATCCCATCTCAGTGAGACTTAGGAGGCGGGCAGCCAGGTGTGAGCAGTCAGGGGTTAGCCAGCCTGGCTCCCATCGGTCGGTCGCGCCCAGTGCGCACTCCGCGGTACTGCGGACGCCCAAGGACGGAAGGTTCTGGGCCGGAACGGGCGCGCGCGCGGCGCGGGTTGCGGGGTGGGGGCGGCTTAGCGGGCGGACCGCCGGGTCGGCGCTCAGGCGGCGGTGTGCGAGGCTGCGGCGGCATGGCGGGGCGGCGGGTGAACGTGAATGTGGGTGTGCTAGGCCACATAGACAGCGGGAAGACAGCGCTGGCACGCGCCCTGAGCACCACGGCGTCCACTGCTGCCTTTGACAAGCAGCCGCAGAGCCGGGAGCGCGGCATCACCCTCGACCTAGGCTTCTCGTGTTTCGTCGTGCCGCTGCCGGGGGGCGAGCCTGGGACTGGCGACTGGCTGCTGCAGGTCACGCTGGTCGACTGTCCCGGGCACGCCTCCCTCATCCGGACCATCATCGGCGGTGAGCGCGGGCCGGGGCGGGAGCCGGGCTCGGCGTCCGAGCTCGCGGAATGGCGGCGGGGAAGGGGCCGTCCACTCCGCGGGCCTGGCAACCATCCCGGAGGCTTGGGGCTCCAACTCACAGCCGGCAGACCAGACGCCGCTCCCATCAGCGCAGCGAGGTGCTTTCCTAGAAAAACAAACTAAGGAAACTCAAGCGCTGCAGAAAGGGTTTACGTAAAAGTCAAAAAAGTCACCACTCACCTGTACTTTGGTCTCCCGATTCTTGTTCCCAAACACTACCCCAGTGTCCTGTGTATGATTTCAGAAAAACACATAAATGCAAGCGTATCTGCATATATGAAGAGTCCATGTTTCTTCTCCGGTTGTTCAACTAGAAGTTGAACCTACAGCCTATCTCATACTTGCCTATCTCATAGGCAAGTGCTCTATCACCGGGTCTCTCTCCAGCTTTGGTCTCTTTATACAGGACTTCAGCACTGTCCAGAGACTGCACTGTCTCTGTACATAAAGCTTCATCGTTTTTAAAGCTCACACAAAGTTCTTTTGCAGTAACATTTTCTTAACTAAATAAATTTTTTGAGAGGGTCTCCCCGTAGCCCCAATTGGCCTGGAACTCACTATGTAGACTAGGCTGGCCTTGATCTCACAGAGATCTGCCTGCCTCAGCCTCCAGGGTGCTGAGATTAAAGGCATGGGCCACCACCAATAATGATGGACCTTTGTGTCTTTTCCAGTTTTCACTACCCATGCTTTGATGAATATTCTAGAACAGAAGGATTTGGTGTATACTAGTGTTAACTGTAGGGTAAGCTAGAACTGAACCCTGACTAGGGCAAGAGGCATATGTATTTTCAGGCATGAACTTTCTGCTAAAATATGTTGCTAGAATTTGTACCCCTGTATTAGTTTTTAATGACTGTATACAGATAATAATACATAACCACTCCTCTCGACTCTGGATCCTTCCCATCTGTCCATGTGAAACCATTCCGATGTCTTTTTGGATTCCTTTTTTCAGATTTATTTAACTACGCTTAAGTCTAGAGACAAGACTCTAAAACTTGTTTTTTAAACACCCAATAGGAAAAATGTATGGCTGTACCTACTTGCTGCAGCCCTAGTGCCCCATTTCCTTGTGGTTCTTTCCACCAGTATTCTGTAAGCCTGCAAACACATGCCCTCATGTATGTTGGGTGGATGGCTTCATTATTCCCCGGGCATTCCAGGTCCCAACTATAGTGATTAGTTAAGTGCTTTGATCTTTGTTGCCTTATCTTTATGCTGGAGGGCAGTCTGAGACAATTTCCCTGTTTGACTGAGGTGGAAATGGAGACTCACCTGCCCAGGGTCAGTCTTCCAAAGTCTAATCCGTCCATGATTCACTCTTGGAAGACTGTTTAGGTACACAGTTTTTTTTCTCCAGCTAATTCTGCCTGATCATAGTCAAATACATTTTAGGACATGCCCTCTAAGCTAGTCTAAGTTGGAGATTGATGGTACTGGAGTGTAGCTCAGTGGTGGAGTACCCAAGGTACTCCTGCAGGAGGCTCTGTTATTTTTCTACAAAGAAAAAATAACAGTCAAATTAAGTCTTTCCTGGCAAATACAGAATCTGCTCCCAGTCATCCCTCTGAGGTCTAGAGGGCAAAGAGCTGTGTACTAGATACTGATTGCTAAGACGTGAGGTTCATAGGTTCCATGGATTTAGTGCATTTTTTACTTAATATTTCAGATCTTTGATAACTGTATTGAATGTGGCCTAATTGTAAGTAGAGGAACCTCTGTAATGTAGGCCAGGGTGGAAGGACAGACATACTTTTGGAGTCATGAAGATCTTGACTCCATAGCTTAGCTTTCTTCCTTGTTAGCTGTGTGTTCATTGAACCTAATTCTGGATCTTCCATCACTGGTAGATAATGGTAGCCACACAGCTACTCTCTGGCTTGGTTTTTCTCAAATATTTTTGCTTTTGGACAAACTTTGCAAGAAGCATTGTTGCTTACCATTTGGCCTTCAAGGAAGTTGGGATTCAGAAAGACAACTTATTAGTAGAACAGAGTCTGCCTGCCTCCTTTTCCATGGTGGGGAATTTTAATGCCACCCAGGTCCCTGAATGCTTGTCACCTCTTCTGATGTGTACATACAGAAGGTCTTTGTATGACAAAAGGTTTCAGCACTACCATGGCATATATGATCAAACTGTCATGCCCCAAAGTATTTGGCAAGTCCTTGATTGAGACTATAAAACGTAGAAGAGAATTTGTGTTCTTCTTGTCTGCTGCTATGGCTCTTCTCACTTCTCGTGTCTTGAGACTTTTTGCATCTCCATCCCAAACATTTAAATGGTCCCAGCTTGGGCAGGGAACCACCTGATGAGGCTGGTTTGTTAGTTTAGGATCAGAAGTAACTGTAAGTATGGGTATGTAGCAGGACGTCACTGTGGCTTATGGTACTGTTGTCTATGTCTGTGAACATGAAAGTGAAAGATCAGCAGGGCCAAATCCTAGAAGGTGACCCTTGATGATGATTTCTCCTAAGAAACTGGGATGGGAGCCCTTTGGAGGGCTGTTGCCTAGGTGTATGACATGACCAGCTGAGCTGTGGGTAGGAAGATGTAGGCAGGGACTCCATGAACAATGAGGGTGGTGTTTGGTGTCTCACCTGTTCCTGGGATCCTTGGGTGACTCCACTGTAATTCTAATGCCTGGCTCACTGAATGGTTCAGACCCCCCATGGAATGTGTAGTCCTCTGGAGAGGGAAATTGTAGTGAGTCCATGATGAATTCTTTAAATTGCAGTCTCTTAAAGCCAGCTCTCTAATCTTATTATTCCTCCAAAATGGGGTGCCCTGCATCAGAGGTGATGATTGCATTTATCAGTTATTTGGTGCTGTCCTTCTAGTCTGTGCACTGTGTGTTTTGTTATTGTTTTCTTAGCTTTCACAGCAGCCCTGGGGAGTAAAGGTGATGTTCCCATTTTATAGATGAAAAAAATGTGTCTCAGAGAGGACCAGGACACAATTACTGTTAACCAGGTTTGAACCAGGTCCATGGGCCTCCATAGTCCTTGTCTGACTTTCTCAGTGCAAATGAAAAGTGTGCCCGTCCACTGCAGCCCCCGGAGTAGTGTTTCAGGATGATATTTTTCTCAAATCCATTTTAGAGTATAAATCTTTCAGGGTTAGAACTTCAAAAAGATTAAACAATGTATGTTTTAAAGACTTGGGTTGGGATGAGGGACTTAAGACTCATCCTCAATCTAACTCCAGCCAGAAAGAGGAGGGCTGAAAAATGCTAGTATCTTGGCTTAGCAATTTATAGTCTTCTGGTGACTGTGAGGATTAACAGCGTTTTGTCTCCGGGTCTTTTGTTCTTGTTGTTAATGAACAACCTTCTGCCTCTACTGACTTATCTCCTGGCCCTCCCACATCCTATACCCACTGTATGAGGGCCAGTTCCTATATAGCTTGGGCCTTCTCTGGGCCCTCCCTGCTAGGAACAGACAAGAGCTTTTATGTCTGACCCAGGCCACTGCACTTGGAGCCTACGAGGTGTTTGTCTCTTATCCTGGAAAGAATAGCTTTGTAAAGCTTAAACTACATTGTCTTTTGCTTTTCTGTGCTTCTGGTGCCCAAAGGGTAAGAGCTCTTAGCCCTTTGGTTTGCTTTTCTAGGCCTATCCCATTTTGTCCCTCTATTCTGTCTGACAGCCCCCCTCCATTTGTACTCATGAATGGAATGGGGTACATGTATGCCAATGACTGTGTATCATCAACCAGCTGTTTTTTTTTTTTTTTGTTTTTTTTGTTTTTTTTTTGAGATCATGTGTTACTCTTCCTGCCTCAGCCTCTGCAATTCAGCTGGATTTTTTTAAAGTTACCCCTATGTAGTCCATGATGGCCTTTAGGCATCTGCACATGTGGTCAGAATGCTGCTTGGTATAAGCTTGAAACCAAGGAAAGAGGGGCTTGGACAAAGGCCTTGGCAGCCAGGGGGCACTGGGTGTTATTCTAATGCCAATTAAAAAAAAAATTAAAAACCACTTTTGATTTTCTTTGCCCTTAATCGTTTTGTAAGAGTCTGTGTAAGAATCCATGACGTGGGCTGGAAAGATGGCTCAGTGGTTAAGAACACTGATTGTTCTTACAGAAGACCTGGGGTTTGAATCCCAGCACCCACATGGCAGCTAACAACTGTCTATAACTCCAGTTCCAGGGGATCCGACAGCCTCTTCTGCCCACTGGGGGCATTGCACAACACAGGTGCACTTACCTACATGCAGGCAATACATATATAACATAAAAATAATAAATAAGCCTGGTGTGGTGGTACACGCCTTTAGTCCTAGCACTTGGGAGGCAGAGGCAGGTGGATCTCTGTGAGTTCAAGGCCAGCCTGGTCTACATAGTGAGTTCTAGGACAGCTGGGGCTACAGGGAGACCTTGTCTCAAAAAGACCAAAAAAATAATAATAATAAATAAAATATTTTATAAAAAAAAAGAATCCATGACATTAAACTGTTGTAATTACATGTTTAGTCTATGACAGTGTGAATTATTTAAAGGAGGCAAAATGCTTCCTTCAACCCAGTCTTTGGCATATTGCATCTGCTTGGCCTTAGTTCTCTATTTTATGCCCACCCAGCGGGGGGCTACGCATTATTTTTAGCACTAAAAGGTGTACATGTGACTGGAAGATTATGCTGTCTGGTACAGCTTCTACAACAGCGTCTACCATCGGGTGATGCTAGGCTGACATGAGTTGCCTTCACTTGCTTCAGAGTTTCCAGTAGGAAATCTGCTTCCAGTAGTGTGCTGTTATTGAAACAAGTGCTTCTGTTGTGCCTGACACCTTATCACTCTCTGACCCCACTTGATCTCTTTCGAAGCTGCAGTGCCTTTAACTGTCTCCAGGAGACTCAGGTTGAGCTCCATCTGCATCACTTTCAGCTCTGGACAGTGGGTGACTTTGCTTTGGTTTGGGTGACAGTGTGGGAACAG